AAAAAAAAAAAAAAGAAAAAAGAAAAAGGGAAACGAAAAAGAAATGAAATATTAAAAACAAAAAGAAAAAGAAAAGAAAGAGAGAAAGAGAAGGAGGAAACACCACAACAACTTCCGCACCTCTTGATTCAATGCAACGTGTCAAGCAGCCAACTGTGTATGATAGCTGCAAGGGAGTGTATGGGACAGCAGGGCTAGATGGCCTTCGGAACTTTGAGAGCTAATTAACCAGGATAATCAAGGTCAATTCGCCCAAAAAAGGTTGGGAAATAATAGCCGACAATATCACGGACCGGCCTGGAAGTGAAAACAAGATATACCACCAGGTACAAGACCTAGGCGAGAAAGTAGCAAAAGAGGAGAGGGAAGACGAGAATATAAAGAGAAACAGTATGTAGGAGAGTGAGAACAATAATGAAGGGAAAAAAGAGAGGAAAGAAATGGGGCCAGAGGTGGATGATCAAATGGATGGTTCATGGAGTGGAGGGCCGCCTGCCGCCGACTGTATGGTTGGTTTTAATTTTAGTTGGTCAAGGATTCTTCTTAAGGGGAACTCAAAAATAACTGCTAGAATGACCCTTCATTCAGCCAGTGCCTGAGGCCGGCGTTCCCCATGCAACTTATGTTGATGCCCCAGGCACCTACTACACTGACTAATCATGCTAACTCGACCCGGTTAGTCATCAAGTGCGATCCCTGTCAATCCTGAGGCATTAATCAGTGGTTTTTCTGCCTAGCCAATCACCCCACCATATTGTTCAGAGGGGAGAAAAAAGCCACAAAAAACCAAGGAGAAACCTAATCTTCTAGGATTCTGTGTAAGACATATCGCTTGCACTAGAATTCAACAGATAAACAATCCCTCTCTAGTCTTTGCTTGCCCCCTGTTTCTTTTCTTCTTCTACAACCATGTCCTCACAACAAGCGGAGGCTGCCCCTCCTGCCTCCGCGACCAATGCAGTCCTAGTTGCTTCGGAGCCCATTCCTGAGGGGACCCATCAGGTTCAGGGTGTAGATTTTGAGCGTTTCCAAGGCCGTGATATCACCGTCGCCGAGATGGTGGACAATATGAAATACATGGGGTTCCAAGGTACCGCAGTCGCCGAGGCTACGCGCATTATCAATGACATGGTAGGACAAATTCTCTACTGAATCCCGCCATCCGCCGTGTGTACCCTTGCTAATCTTTGTTACTCATCTAGCGAGCCTATCGTCATCCCGAAACCGGAGAGAAGACAACTGTCTTTCTCGGGTACACATCCAATTTGATTTCATCGGGCCTCCGGGACACCATTCGTTACCTCGTTCGCCATCGTCACGTTTCTGCAATTGTTACCACCGCTGGCGGGGTCGAGGAGGATTTGATAAAGTGTTTAGCTCCTACCTATATGGGTTCCTTTACAGCTCCGGGGGCTGGACTGCGTGCTAAAGGATTGAACCGGATTGGCAATCTCGTTGTTCCTAACAGCAATTACTGTGCCTTCGAAGATTGGTTGATCCCCATTTTGGATACGATGTTGGAAGAACAAGAAGCCGCCAAGAAGAAGGCTCAGCAGACCGGCGACGAGGAAGACGAGCTACACTGGACGCCCAGCCGTATTATTGAACGGTTAGGCCATGAAATCAACCATGAGGATTCCGTGCTTTACTGGGCCGCGCGCAACAAGATCCCTATTTTTTGCCCTGCGCTCACCGATGGCTCCCTAGGAGACATGCTCTATTTCCATACCTTCCGGTCCTCCCCACAACGACTACGTGTAGATATAGTTGATGATGTGCGTCGCATCAACACGATGGCCGTCCGGGCCGCCCGTGCTGGTATCATCATCCTCGGAGGTGGGGTGGTAAAGCACCATATCGCCAATGCATGTCTAATGCGGAATGGAGCGGAACATGCGGTCTATGTAAATACGGCTCAGGAATTCGATGGAAGCGACGCTGGAGCTCGTCCAGACGAGGCTGTTAGCTGGGGAAAGATCAAGGCGGATGCCAAGGCAGTCAAGGTGTATGCGGAGGCCACTGTAGTCTTCCCTTTGATGGTTGCGGCCTCCTTTGCCCGGGCCGACCAACCTTCCACCGATACGAATGACAAATCCCAAAACTAAAGTACCGAGGCCTTTTTTTTCTTTAGTGAGCGGGGTGGGCTACGGAGATAGCAGTGTTCGTTGGTGGACTAACATCACGGCAGAAACCTGCTCGGAGGCGGCTTCCCCCAAGCCTCGAATTTTATGCAGTGATTAGACGTGTGTTGGGGAGCCCTTGCGGATACACTGCCTGATGCTCAAATCAGATACTCCAACAGGCTCCGAAGTGGCGGCGACGAACTTCCACCAGATGAGTCTTCAACCTAGTGTCGGAAGGGGTTAAGATATTCTAGAAGGGAGGCGACCCGGATGATAAGCTCCGAAGGGAAGAACCAATCCTGTGGAGACTCGAGAAATAATTTTCTTGACCCGGTACCGAGATGGAAGAGAAACTTTCATGTCCCGCGATTAAGAACTGGACCTTTTGTTCCAGAGGCAAAGTGCCTGAGGCGGATGTTGGATAGCAAATCAAAGCGGGTGCAAGTTGTGGATACCATGGAGCGTTCCACAGGTCGATCATCCCTAAACCCGTGACAGTTGATTAGGGTTGAACAACCCCGAATTAGAGAATTAGGTCCAGTATGGGACTTGCCACAAAAGAAAAAAAGGGGGCAGGATATTTCCAAATCATCTAGAGATCTTTAAAAATCCAATCAAGCCAAACGGAATGTATCATATAAACGTGTGGAATCCTGAGCATCCGAATGGTAGATAATAGTACATACTAATTAGTATTCATTCCCCCAAATAGTTATAATACTGTTAAGGGTACTCGGAGTAGTAGCCTCTGGTAGATGGGGGTTAAGCCCAAGATCGAATAGAATCGGGAGAAATCAGACCCCACTTAAACAGAATCGAGAAGGGGGTCGAGGTGGCAATCGCAGACTGGAGCTTCAAGAATGAACAGAGAGTAATGAATTGTTCCCCAGCGAGGGATTTGCGGAAGAGACTGAATAAATTCCCCCATGAGTCCATTGGACCGGCGGTGAGTGCAGGTGATTTGGCTCTCGGCTGCATTGCCGCCTCATCTTTTTGTCTTTGGTTCCTAATTTCCCCCTCACAATTTTCTATTTTTTTTCCTACTGATTTTGTTTCCTTTCTCTCTTTCTTTTTTTTCTCCTTTCACTGTTGGTTCCTGTGAATTTCTTTCTCATCGTTCTACTACTATACAACCCTCATTCAGCAAGAATCGCTGTCATTTCCTTCCTAGGCTTAGGCTGCCCCGTACTATCGATAAGCCTCGCGGTCTATATCCTTATCGGGCATTCTAGACTCTCACTTTCTTCTTGATCAGTTGCTCTGTCCATTTAGTACCCTTTTTGACTCCCTTTTCTTTTCTGTACTCTTCTCTCCCTCTCATCCTTCTTCTCTTTCACAGACTCCTGTGTCCTAAGACAGAGAGGACAGAAAGAGTATCGTTGGTTAAGCAGTTTGTTATCTGCATGATTGGTTCCTGAATTTTGTTTGCAGTCATACACATAGTAGCCCGGTCTCTTTATTATTTATTACTTAAACATCAACCAGCTCCGGTGTTTGACTCATCAATTTCTCTGTCGTCCAACTGCCTTTTCTTTTTCTTGTTCTTCTACCCATTTTTCCTTTTTTTTTCTTTTCACCTCCCTACATTCTTTCTGTCAACTTCTTCGTGCGGGCACTCTGAAGAGCTCATTGATCAGTCCGACTGGGGTGCTGCCACTCCGCGTCTTCCACAATGGACATTAACAACGATACATCGATCACTGTCGAACAACTTCCTTCCGTCACTCCGGATACTGAATCACCTTCCGAGACGGGTGCAACGACACTCATTATAGACACGCCGGCCGGCGACTCTTCGGAGCCCTCAACAGACCCATCGAATAACCGCCCAGATCCTCCCCCACAAGATCAAGAGCAAAATGCTCCTTCTCAATATGCTAGCTCTGAGGAGCACGAACCTCCTGTACTGTCTGATACATCCGCCCCTCCTCGGCCCCCACCCCCAGAGGTCGAACATGCTTACTGGGCGGAGATGGAGGAGGATACATCGGTTCCGGACGAGGCTGAGATGAAGGAAATTGAGTCCGCCGCTGATGGGGACTATAGTGCTTACGAATGTGAGTCCAATAGTATGACGACAGGCAAATAATAAGACATACTAACAGTCGTAGACCCTTATTGGGAGAAGAACTTTCACCCCAATCTGGAGGATCCGGAGTATCGTCCCACCGAAAAGGCTCGTCTCACTTGGAAAATCAAGGGTGTTAGGGGTACAAAGGACCAACCCAACCGTGCCAAGGTGATGCGCTCTCCACCCGCCTACATTGGCGGCTACTGGTGGACCATCAAGTTCTTTCCCCGGGGGAACAATGTTAGTTCCTTGAGCATCTATATCGAATGCTCACCCACTATGCCCACCCTAGACAAGAGTTTACCCGAGACTGAGTTCAAAGTGCTTCGCGGGCCAGCTGATCAAAATATTAACGATTTTACCCCTGATGTGAACCTTAAGTTTGCACGCACGAATGACTCCGCAGCTTGGGTAGAGGATTACAAGTCACAGTACCCAACGGCTGCCACCCAAGAAAAAGCAACATCCGACACATGGAGAGTTTCTGCACAGATTGGCGTAATCTTATACAATCCAGACGAACCACGCACTGGGTGGATGCAGTCATCGTGCCATCAATTCAACCCGCATAATCTCGACTGGGGCTGGACTAGTTTCCACGGCCCATGGGACAAGATCCACCGCCGGCAGCGGGGCCAGCGCCAGGCACTGCTCCGCAATGATACCTTGGCATTTGATGCCTATATTCGTATCATTGATGATCCGACTCGCTCATTGTGGTGGCATGCCAGTGATTCGGAGCCCACTTGGGATAGCTTAGGACTTACTGGCTACCGCCCGCTTGGAGACTCTGTTATCAACCACAGTGCCGAGGTCGCGGGTCTAGCCACCTGGTTGCATATTGCGCCTTTCTGCAAGATAATCCAGAACGCCAATATTGTCGACCATCTAACTAATTGTGATGTCAAGCCTAAACCGCTATGTGACGCATTGCAGAAGTTTCTCTGGCAACTACGTTCTCGCAGTCAGTCTCTCCAATATGTCGACACCGACACTATCACGTCTACGCTACGCAATTTGCACGAGTTCTCTGGGGATGTGTGTGAGTTCTGGGAACGCTTACGCCGTACTCTCGAGCTGGAGCTGGCAGACACGGATGCGCCAAAGGAGCTTGCCGCGCTGTTCGATAGTCCTTCTCCTGACCTACTTCTGAAGGAGGCTCAAGGGTCAGATGTGGTCAACACTATCCCAAAGGATTTCAATTCCCGCATCTGTGTGCGGGCCGACCAGGCAAAGACAATGCGTGAAGCTCTTGGCAGTTACCTAGATTCCAAAGCAGGCCGTTGGGCATTACCACCTATCCTCCATGTAGAGCTGAACCGTCAAAAACTCGACAAAGCAGCTCGGCAATGGAGATTGATCTATAACCGGGTAGACTTGGACGAAGAGCTCGACCTTTCGCCATGGCTACTAGATGGTAAGCACGGGAAATATGTTCTATATGGTTACATTGTCCATCGAGGTCGACGCACTTCGGGTAAATTTTTCAGCATTCTTCGCCCGGGTGGTCCTGGGACTAAGTGGCTAGCGTTTGATGATGGAAGTGATAACCGTGTTGAATGTCTAACGCGTAAAACAGCCTTGGGCCCTCATCTGGGTCTGGACGCAAGTCAAAAGGTCGATCACAAAACTGGCCACGATGTTGCCATTGCGGTTATGTACATCCGCAGCGACCTTGTGCAAGAGTATCTACCCGGCCCTCAAGGGCCATGGGCGGCTCCTCCAGCCATGAAGGAATACTATGAGCGGGGAGTGTATCCCTATGCGAACTCCTCCGATGGGAAGACAACAGATGATATTCAGGTTGAAGTCTACTCTGCTCCGCAATATGATCAGCTAGGGAGCTTGTTTGATACGTATGATCTGATGTCTCAGGCAAAGGCAGCAAACAAGGTCATGTATCTGACATTGCCTCGGTCAACAAACCTCATGGATCTACGCAAGAAGATTGCTTTATGGGCCTCTGCGGGTGACCAAGATCAAACGGGTCCGGAGCATATTCGTCTATGGCAGATTGGACATACTCGTGACCGGTTTGGCCCAACACTCGCGTTTTCTCGGGTGTCGGACCTGAGAGCCACCTTGAATCTACCCATGAAGACAGCTCGTTTTTGGATACAGGTGGTCTCAGACGGTAAGAATAGCTCATGGCTTTGTTTCTTTTCACTGATAAAATGCTGACCTTGCAGTAGTGGATGCGAAGTATTTCGCCATGGCAGATCCACAGGAAATGGAAGTGCCACAAAACAAGCCTGAAGAGGCTGTGTTCGAACGCGAAGACTCTGATTCCTCTGATGATCAGCAATCTGTTCCTGAAGTTGAATCAGGACGGGCAGGCCCATCTGGCACTGCAACTCGCGCGGATGATATCGTGGAAGTTGTCACCGCACAGGCCCCTTCGGAAAACCTCAATAATGGGGTTACCGGGAACTTGGAAGAGGGCGCTGAAGCATCTCTGCAGACACCTCATCCTGAAAATAGTATCCCAAATGGTGCTGTGAATGATGCTGTCATTGCTACCATCGTCGCTGAAGATATCCAACTGATGGAATCTGAGCAGACAACGGACAGTGCTCAGATAAATGTCACAAACGGCGCAGACGTTCCAGAGTTGTCCACAACAGATGATGCCTCTGCTCATTCAACAGATTCAGAACCCGCTTTACCGGTAGACCATGTATATTATTTCATCCAGATCTTCGATGTGGACGCGCAGACCTTGCGGACCGTCGGATCATTCTTCTCCCAGAAAGAAGAAACTATCAAGGCTGCAGTGAGAAAGCACTTGCAGTGGCCGGTGACCAAGGATTTCCAGGTCTGGCAGCGTGTGGACGGCACCACAGTGACAACCATGCCATCTGCCGAAAGTTTCGAGGTTTTTGTGCCCGATGGCACTTGCTTCATTGTCGGAGACAAGCTGAGCAAAGACCAGTAAGTTCATTTTTTACCAATTGATGTCAGACTTAACAGCGTGCTAATATGGCTATTTTCTAGACGATTAAAGCTCAACCAGGCAGGGTTACTGGCCAATCCTGATCAGCTGGTGCGGTTTCTGTGGGCTGAGTCCCGCAACCACCCGACAAAGGCATTTACCGGATTCAAGACTATCGAAGCGTCATTCACCAGTGAATACTACAGTGGTGAATTGAGCAAAGGATACTACCATGGTAAAGGCAAGCATATTTCCGATTCAGCCGCTATCTATGAGGGAGACTTCGTCCTCGGAAAGCGTCACGGCAAGGGATTTACGGAGTACCCCATTGGCGACACCTATGACGGAGATTGGTACGAAAACCAGTGTCATGGCCAAGGCACCTTCGTTGAGAAGAAGACAGGTAACAAGTACGTTGGCGGCTACAAAGATGGTAAGCGCCATGGAAAGGGTATCAGCTACTGGGAAGTAGCCGATGAAGAAATGGATCTTTGTCAGATCTGTTACTGTGAAGAACAAGATGCTCTATTCTATGATTGCGGCCACGTATGTGCCTGCGTCGCCTGCGCACATCAGGTGGATATATGTCCGATCTGCCGCAAGAACATCCTCAGTGTCGTCAAGATCTACAAAACATAGTGGGGCTTTTGTCGGCGAATATTATTTATATTTTATATAGTTTCCTTTATATAGCATCAGAGAGTATGACATACCCAGGAGGTTACGAATTTTTTGGCTCTAATATCTATATCCACCATCACTCTTGTTTACCCAGTCATTTGGTTTTCCTATTCGGGAAATATACGAAAGTTATACGAGATTCAGATCAGACCTTTTTCATGTTCGTACAGTTGCAGAATCTGCTTAGACAGCGCCAATTGAAATACAGAAATGAACTACTCAACCCCAAGGGCAAAAAGATAAACCGTGTGAATGTCATGGTATCTATTGAATTCGCCACCTATCTACCATAGTAATAAGAGCAAATCATAACAGATCAACACACAAATAGGGACAATGCGCCACCCACACCAATAATCAAAAGAAATAGAAGAAATGGATGCTTTTGTATTTCATTCAGTCAACAAACCATGTTAGAAATCCAGCTGTGGGAAGAAGAAATATACACAAGTATTATATAGTAGATGAAGAAAGATCATAACTATTTGCTCGACTTCTTAGCCTTCTTCTTGTCCGATGTAGCTGAAGCTTGAGCTTTGGGTTTCTTCATTTCAGGGGTGGAGCCTTCTTGAGCCTTGGATTTCTTGTCGGGAGTAGATTCTTGGGTCTTGGTGTTCTTCTGGGTTTTTGCTTTCTCGGGTGTGGTAGTGGACGTCTTTTGTTCCGGGGCTGGTGAGTCGGAGTCCTTGGATTCGTCTGCGGATTCAGCCTCGGACTTGGATTTCTTGGTGGGCTTGTTTAGGACGGCCTTGGGGTTGATACCCTTTCTGCGGAGACGGTTGCGCTCAGCACGAGCGATGCGATCGGTGTCGTCGTTCTCTTCGAAAGGACCGAAAGATCCGCCCTCCATTTCCACGACGGCACCGTCCTCGTCGACGATGGGGGTTTTGTCGATGGACTCTTCGTCGTCGGACTTGGCAGTGGTGCGACTTTCAGAGGTCTTGGGTTTGGAGGTAGCTTCGCCATCGGCCTTCTTGTCCTTGGGGCTGGGACCGGTCTTCTTCAGCTTGCAGACGTAGAAACCGTCGACGTTCTCGCGGTGAGGGAAGTAGCGGCGGGTCATGGTCATCTTGGAATCGAAGTGCTTGCCCATGTATTCCTTGAAACCAGGGCTTCCAAAGTCACCGAGACCGGTGTCGACGATCTTCACGTTGGGACGCTTGCGCAGGACGTACTGGACGACGGCTTCGTTCTCCTCGACCGTTACACTACAGGTGGAGTAGACGATGTATCCGCCCGTTTTCGAGGAGTGATCGACGGAGTCGATAGCGGCGAGAAGAAGCTGGCGCTGCATGTGTGGGATGGCGAGGAAGTCACGTTCGGTCTTGGAGTTCTTGACGGCAGGATCCTTTGCGATAATGCCTGTACCGGTGCAAGGGGCATCGAGCAAGACGCGGTCAAAACCACCCATAGCCTTGGGGAATGCGTGACGGGCATCGAGGTTAGTAACGATGGTGTTCTTGCATCCGAGACGGTGAATGTTACCGATCAAACCCTTGGCACGGGGTTTACTGGCATCGTTGGCGATCACGCAGCCGGTGTTGCGCATCAATGCCGAGATGTATGTAGTCTTACCACCGGGGGCAGATGCCATATCGAGTACTCGCTCGTTAGGTTGGGGGGCCAAGGCCATGACGGGAAGGAAGGAGGATGCAGCTTGCAGGATGTAATGACCAGCCAGATACTCCGGAGTAGCACCCAGAGGAACAGCAGACTCGAAGACTTGAAGACCGACCTTGGACCATTTTCCGACGGGCTCGAGCACCACGCCTCGGTTGATGAGAGCTTGGGCCAGAGAGCGACGGTTCGTGCGCAATGTGTTGGTACGGATGACGACAGGACGCGGGGTCTCGTTAGCTTCGAAGAAGGCAAAAGCCTCCATAGGTGTGAAAAGATTGAACAGCTTCTCTGCGAGGTACGGTGTGTATCCATAGTAGGTGCAGATATCGCCCAGAAGCAGCTGTGTGTAATCGGCACGGGACTTTCCAGGCTGGCCTAGCGTTTTAAGGTCGCCCAGAATACGAATAGTGTCCGTTATTCTTGTACGGAGGAGTTGCAGGTCAGGAGCCAAGTTTTGGCCAGCACCTTCAGCGTCGGCAAACACATCTGGACGGTCACCGGCGATATTTGTCTGCAAGGCGGATTCCTGCAATTCACGCTCTGCCTCTTCCTCTTCAGCCTCCTTCTCCAAGTCGAGTTTCCGGGACAATCCCTCAATGTTTGCTGCTGTCAACTTCTCTTCCGCATCGGAAAGATCTTCGTCGTCGGAGAACATAGCTTGCCGTGGGTGGTCGTCGTCGTCCGAATCCATAACCGAGTTATCATCCTCAACTTCGCTGCCCATTGAACCATCGCTGACACCATCAAGATCATCAAATTCATCATCCGGCATTTCCTCGTTGTCAAGGCCCGACATTTCCTCATCTTCCTCCTCGTCGCTCGAATCCATGAACGTTGGCTTCTTCTTTTCCACAACCTGCTTCTTGGTTTTACGCTCAGGTACAGTAGCAACCTTTTTGCTCTTGCCATTAACCGTCGCATTAGCCTTCTTCTTCGGTGCTTCCTTCAGAGGCTCCTCCTCAACTTCGGCTCTCCTCCGCTTCTTGCCCGCTTCCGCCTTACCAGTCTCACCAGCCTTGCGCTTCTTAAGCATAGTAATCTTGGACTCATCAAGAGGGGCCGGAGGGCCCTGCTTCTTCATACGACGACCCTTACCCATAGCGACAAGAGGTGCGATGTGGGTGAATAAAACAACAACAAAAAAAAGAGCCGTAACACTTGAAGCTCCAAACGGAAACCAAACTTTTTTTACTTTTTACTTTTTTTTTCATGCGGGCGGTCAGTATCGGCAGATAATTCCGGGCAGGCGGTGTGAGCGGTAATCTTCATGCCTGAGGCAAACTCCAGATTGCCCATCAGCTTCACCACACCCCAAACAGGCAAATGCGGGATGTTCCAATAACTACTTAAGAAGCGACACTTCACCAATCGCTCACCACACACTACCTTATCCTTGACAATGTACACCTCCGGCCCTGCTGCAGCCATGGCAGAAGTCAACTTCATCAAATCATTCCTCTCCTCCCTCGACTCCCGCCCTATCAAGCTCCCAGCCAACCATGTAATCGACCCTGAGCGAGTCCCGCGAGTCCCTGTACGTGATACCCCAAACAAACAATATCCAAGGAAAACTACCTTTGCTAACTATATCTGAATCAGTACCTTCTCCCCCGCATGCCAGCCCCGCACTCGGAAATGCCCAAGAAAGTCAAACAGTCTCAAGCCCCGGGTTCCTCGAAATCAATCACCGTGAACTTAAAATCCGCCCGCAATCCCTCCCTTGAAATCAAACTCTCGAACAAGCCTCTCTCCACAACATCCGTGCAGGACCTCAAGGATGCCGTCCGGGACCGCGTGGTCGATACGCAGTCGAACAAGGTCCCGCTGGACAAGATCAAGATTTTGTACAAGCGCAAGCCGATTGCGGGGAAGACAATCTCCGAGATCCTGGCTGATGAGCCTGAGATGCTTGCTGGAGGTAAGGAGGTTGAGTTTGGAGTTATGATTATGGGGGGTGCGAAGGTAGTTGAGGAGGATCAGGAGATGGCGGATCAGAGCGTGTCGCCGAAGGCGGCACTTGGGCCTAGTGGGGAGAGTGTTCTGGAGACGGAGGCTTTCTGGGAGGATCTAGAGGGGTATCTTGGGCAGAGGATTAAGGATAATGAGGAGGCGAAGAATTTGAGGGTTTTGTTTAAGGAGGCTTGGAGTTCGAGTCGGTAATTTGCTTTGTAGCTCGTGTGCTGTGTTATGATACCTTAATGAGTATAAAGCTCGTATGCATTCTCGGATACTTTTGCACATAAGACCAAAGGATTGAGTGTAATAATAGCATTGATGGAGGTATTCTATAACTAGCTAAGAAAGAATCACATCCTGATTGCCCAGTTGCCGTAAACTTAGTCCCTCACAACTCTCAACTGTATCAGCCAGGGTAAAGGGGACGACGGGATCAGAGAAGGGTTCACAGGAAGGGGAAGATGAAAAGAACTATATCACAGGGCATGAGGTTGAAAGTGCAAGCGCGAACCATCATGATTTAAGACAGCTAATAGGATATTGAAAGATGGGCGACCTTCGGGTGTGGCATTATAGCCAGCAGACATCATGATGCCAAAGCACCCCAAAGAAAAACGGACCACAGGGATACATGAAACGCAAACGATAATCTCGGATTGACGTGAACAAGACAATGAAAGCTCTAGAGTACATAGGGCACCCTTTGTCATTTCATATAAAACCGGGTAGGAACAGCAACAATGCAGGGGTGGATATGTTTAGGAGAAATGGAGAAAATAGCGGATTATGAAAGATAAGAGGGAAACTATAACCACACGTGTAGAAAGGAACATATGCCAGGTAAGAGACCATTGCAAATGCTCAAGAATTCGCCAAGCGCTCATCCATTCATGCGTCCAAGAAATACGGCATAAGAAGAATATCAGCTCGAATATAAAAATAAAATCATACATCAACAGTAGGAGCCCGCGTTATCTCGAAGTATTACCTCGAGAAGACCTTGACCAGACCATCGCCGCCGCCGCTAACGACCCAACGGCCATCGCGACTCCAGACGGCGGAGCACACGCCCTCACCACGCATCAACCGGTGGCTAGTGATTTCTTGGGTGCAGCTACGTTTCTCAAGATTCCAGAACCGTAGACTGGCATCATGGCCGGCTGACACCAGTTCGCGTCCATCTGGAGATAAGGAGAGTGATGCTATCGCTGACGGGTGCGCCAACATAGTGTACGTACATTGTCCTGACCCAGTTGTTAGTGAATGAGCATGTTTTATGCTAATCCTAAAACGTAATACATACCACTGTTAGCATCAAAAAGACGAATGTATCGGTCTTCGTAGCCACTTATGATAACACCCTCCACACCACTCGAGCCCGTAGCACCGTGAACAACCTCTTCTTCACCTGAGATGCGACTGGGATCCAGGCCCGCAGTCCCATCAAATCCAACTGTAGTTGCCACAACGGAGTTAACGCCGGTGGAAGGTGTGCCATCGTACGTCTCCAGACTCGCCATTCCCACAATCTCCTCACCGGTCCTCGTATCGTAGACAATAATCGAAGCGTCTGAGAATGACACCACAAAGTTGACGCCGGCAAGAGACAAGGGGCTTATGCATGTTGGCGATGGAGAATCCTTTCTTGTGATCTTGTGGATAAGAGTATAATGGAATGGCGTTGAAGTAGCCATGCTTGGTTGAGGGGAAGAGGGGAAATTGGAACCAGACGAGATCGAGTTAGCCCTCCGGCTGCCCCCAGCTCGTCGAGATCCTGCTTGAGGTGATGAGAGTTGGGGAGGAGCGCTAACTGCCCATATCAATATCTGGCCGTCCGCGGCACCCGATGCCAACAAGACTCGATCGGGGCCCCCATAGTGACCACAAGAGTCCCCAAATACGGAACCGGTAGTTCCAGGAAGAACACAAAGACCCCATACGGCATCAGTATGCCCATCCAGTGTGGCCTTGGGGTCAATCCTTCCTCGTTCCCAGACCCGTACACTGGCGTCCTGGCCACCAGAGAACACCCAGCCATCACCCAAAGCGCGGCCACCGTTCGAAAAATCTCGGGAAGGAGAGCATGCGGTCAACGCTGTGACAGCACCAACGTGCCCTCTGTGTGTGAAATAGCTTGTTATATCCAGATCATTGCTGGTGTTGGCATTATGCGCGCCAAAATTACCGTAGGTTGCTGGAATGATCCATCGCTTGATTGTTCCGTCGTCACTACAGGTACAGATTTCGGGCTCTGAAGGACTACCACCACCAGTGAAAATCACCGAGCGGACGACATCCAGGTGTCCACGCAGAGCAAATCTAACTTTGAAGTTAGAATCCTGCTTCTGGCCTGCTCCTCCACTACTATCGCTCAATCCATCGCTCTTACTCCTAGCACCCGAGCTTTTCCGTCTATGAGATAGGGACCCCGTTCGTGTAGGAGACTTCGATCGAACAAAATTAGCGTTAGGAAAGGCATCCACATCTGGCCGATGAGGCGGCATCGGTTCAGTCGGCGGCTCTTGCTCGGACGGTTCGTCAAAATTCCAACCGTCCGGGTCCTCTTGATGTTGCTCTGTTTGTTGTGGCTTTCCCTCCTCTTTAGCTGCTCCTTGTTCACAATACACGTCATACACTTGCTTCTCAGCACCAGTGCGCTCATCCACAGCTGTATGTTCGGGAACCTGCTTTCTACTGTCAACAGCGGTGGCAGGGGTCTGCTGCGGCTCCAAAGGCTTCCTCTCCAAAGCTTCTCTAGAACCCGGCGGCAGACCAAACTGATTTGGTGGGCGAGATAACCCCGAACCTTCGGGATATTGAGCCACGATGGGCTGGTGATTCTGCAGAGATACCTCCCGTGCCATCATATGATTTGCCTGCTGTTGTTGTTGTTGCTTCTGTCGTTGCTGCTGTAGGTGATAAGCTTCCTCTAGGGCTTGGTGAGACATTTGTTGGTTTCCGTAGATATGGTTAGGGAGATCCGGGTCGCCGAGATCAGGGGGGGGATGCGATGCAGGTATAACGTGGTAAGCTACTTCTTGCGAGCATTTTGACAGATAAAGGCGCGATTTATCCCGTTCGCTTTCTTGCCGGAAGTCAGGCTGATTATCGTTCAGTTCGGCTTCGCCGAAGTCCATGAGCGGTTTAGGACGTTGAGCTGCAACCAAGTTAATTCATAGCGCGTCATCAGGGGCAATGACATCCGTACATTTCAAAGAATTCATACTCTCCCGAGCAATCTCCTTGGGATCCCTAGTATCTTCCACTTTCTCGTTGTTGCTAAGCTTCTTGACCTTTTCACGCTCCTTCTTTAGCGCGGCTTCAAGTAGCCTGACATGCTTCCCCAAGGACTCGTGTAGACGCTTGCTCGTTCGCACGTCACCTTCCAACTTGCCTATGCGAGACTTCATCTCTGCGCGCTCGATCTCCCACGCATTGCGGTCTCGCTCGTGTCGGTGCCATTCTGTCTGCAGGAAGCGCATGACGCCTATGACACCAGGAAACATATTAGCGCCATCATGTCGAGATTGTAGTTATATGAACCTGCCACAGGAACGCACCTTGTAGTGTGTATTCAGTTCCCTGAGGTTGGCCGCCGTTGGGGGCCCCATCCCCGGGTCCCCCATAGCCTCCAGCCCCAACCATGGCCGAAGGCGATTGCCAAGCCATGCGAAATCAACGATCAGGGCAGCGAGAGTCGGTTGTTATTAAGCAGAAATAGTTTCTAGCTCTCTGGGTTGTATCCGAGGTGTGGAGAGCTTTGGTGAAGTTGTGCCCACAGCCGGTAAACTTTCTTGGTGTAAGGCCAACAAAAGCCGGGATGGGGGGACAACGGCAGGAAACAGCGTTCCCCTGGCCGTGTCAACACCGAGGAAAGCGAAAACAATGGATGATCTCAAAGAGACGGGGGAATCCGTTCGGCGGAATTACAGGAGATGTCAAAGAAGCTGAGCCGAGAGGAGCGAACTGGACTTGGGCTGGTGCGCGTTCTCCTGCGCTGCTGAGGTCGGGGAAATGCTGCGGTGTTCTCGTTGGCTCCTTAGGCGCCCGCGCGGCTTAACCGCCTTTAGCGCTGGGGGGTTGTTTAGTATTTTCCCAGCCTCATCTAGTGGTGGTCAGGGAGGTTGAGAAATGGATGAGCTGGCCATAAACATCCTTAATAAAATGTAAATAAGTATAAAATAAAATAAATGAAGCTGACGCCTCTTGATCCTTTCCCTCAGGGGAGGTGGACTGACATCAGGAAGGACAGCTAGAACTGGACCTCAGGCCGCCAATCATCGTTTCCCAACTGACCCTTAGCACCGTTGCTTTTTGACCTGTTCAACTAAACTATCGCAAAACATAACGTGTCCCTATTTTTAATAATTCAAGGTACCCACTGAGGATATTTATGAGGTTCGTGACTCGTTATACTATACACTACACACTATACTAGACGATGCGCTTCCGCTAGAACTCCAACTCTTCAACCTCCATCCCACAATCTACACACTTCTTGACTCCGATCCCAGTCTCGGGATTCTCAATGGACCGACCCCATTGATGCACATGTCTCCCACCATTGCCCAGATCATCACCAAAGTTCCCACCAGTTGCTCCTTGACGGCTACGGCGATATGCATCAACGCGCGTGCGCTTCTTCAAGTCCTGTAGCTTTGTCTTGAATTTGGCCTCCCGCCGTCGCTTTTTCTCATTTTCCCGTCGCTCGAATTCGGCATCGAGCGCTTCAGCAGAGCCCCACTTCTTCGCGGAAAAGGCGTATTCCTCGACCTGATAGCGTAGGTAAAGCATCATGTTGTTCCACGTTGACTTATGAGGGTTAGGCCGTTCAAGATGCGGCAGAAGATCTTCGTCTTTCAGTTCGGCTACAAGCAAGAAGTCAATATCCAAAGCTAAGCCATACCAAAAGTCATTGGAAAACTCACGATCTGTCAAAAGATAATCCTCCTTCGCTTCCGTCTTCGTAAGAAGACTGTATTTTTCGGGGTGCTTTTCCTTGCAGGCATGGCATACACAACACCGAAGATCCTGCTCCCACTTCCAATCAATCTCCAGGCTACCACATTCACGACACTTCTTCTGCTTGCTTTTATCATCCAACACACTGAGGGCTGGTTCGAAGGGGCCGGTCCGATTCCGACGAAGAGAATCCAGTAACTGTTTTCTTTCCCACTCCTTCTGCGTCATGTTTGCCGGCTTCTGCTCTTCCTTCCCCTCTTTCACATGCAGCGCCTTATTAAAAGGATCATCCTCCTCCGTCAGAAAACCTCCCTTCGTATCCGTCATCTTACTGAAGTCATATTCAACGTATTTCGAGAAGTTCCGCGCAGGCTTGATCGAATCAAGTGGGCGAGCAGCGGATGTCGCATCTCGAACCGTAGCAGGCATCTCAGCTGTCATGGAGGAATAGGATCGTTTAACTCCGTTCGTAGATTGCGCCACACCAGGAATACTGGCTGATGCTCGGGCCTCCGCCTCGCGTTGCTCCCGTATCGCCTTTGCTTTCATGCGGTTGACATCCTATGCATCAGCTAATGTCAGTCAGATATCGGTAAATTGCGTCAGGGGACCTGTACAATTTTCCGCAACTGCTCAGGTGTAAGTGGTGCCCGCGGGAGCTCGCCGGACTTTGATCCACCGGTCTGTGGAGGTGGTGTCGAACGGTCTGCCCCCATTGTGCACGATGGCCTTCACAAGCTTCTTGCCGCAGCTCGAGAATACAAGCAGTCGTGACTCGAGATCGTGAGTCTTGCAAGGGGTCCGTGTTATCGTATCAATATCTCGTATCGCCACCCCACGTGATGATAGCAACAGTATTTAAAGGATTTGATTGGTCGGGTTTACAATGTGATTTCAATACAGTGAATGCTACTATCGGTAGGACTAGTAGTGCTAGGGTAACCAACAGGTATATCTACTGTGAAGACGGTGGTCAAAAGTGTCTAGCTACTTATATCTCACCTAAGATGAGGCCATTGTGTCTTTGTAATATGATTTTTCACTTATGCAAGCCATGACGGTACGAGTTCTACCTATGACAGACAAGAAGCCGCCTCTCACAAACAAAATGGGGTATCAAAATTTATCCGCTATGCTAGATCGCTATGAACATCTACGAGACCCAGAGAAGTCAATTTCTTCGCATACTTCGCCATCATCCCGTCCTTGGCCGTATAGCACCTCGCACACACCTCCCACAGGAACATCCAAGACAGCATCGGTGCCCTCACTCCAAATTTCCCTCCAGTTAACCTTTTTATTTTGCGGGCCCATGATTTGGCATGATGTTGCACCGGGTTTCATCTTGACAGCACCGCCAGGTCGTCTCCGGCCCTTGCCATCTATCACTGCGACATTCGCTACCTCATCCACGATATTCTCAACGCTGTTCATCGGTAGCGTCATGTATCCGGTATTATACGAGGCGAGCGCAATGTAGATGTAGACGATGGTCATAACTAGCCACGCTGGTATCGCCAGTGACCACCAACGATCGGGGTAGTAGGTAATACCAAGCTGGTGTAGAAATGGGGACGGCAGATAGGACCAGAGGATGTATATTACTGTTGCGAGGACGTCAGAATTGCTCTCATAGGCCCCGACTGCAGCTAATATAAAGGGTCAAAGTCCTACTTACAGAAAGCTAATGAAGAGGCGAGATATAGAACGAAACCGTAGTATTCGTATGTCGGTACCTTCGGACTGGCCCGAGGAACGGTTGTTGCCCGACGCGCCGACTTCGCAACGGCTGCTTCCGTATCGTTGGGTGTTTCAACATCGGAACTGTCAGGGGTGGTTGGTCGGGAGGTGGTGGTTGAAAAGGGGGGTCGAAGGAGAGAGGTCAGCGAAGGTGATGGAGGTAGAGGCGTTGGGGGCCGATTGTAGAAAGGGGGAGCGAATGCATTGGGCCCGTGAAGCGAGCTTGAAGATTGGCGAAATGGATGGATCTCGATGCCATCATCTTCTGGTGATTGTCCGTCCGAGTCATCTGTAGACGCATCGGTGAATGATTGATCGTCCAGCGAGTACTGCGATTGGAAGTTCACGTCGTAGTCTTCTTCCTCGACGTCCGGCGATGTTATGTCTGGATCATCTTCTGTTAAGCTGGTGTCTGGCGCATCTTGAGAAGTGATTGCAAGATCATCTGCTGAGAGAGGGGGGAACGGTTGCTTCGACTCAAACGGGGAGAACACAGAGCGAGCGCTGGTGTCATTAGATATGCTGTCTGGGTTCGCCTTTTTCCCTTTGCTAGTAAACGACATCTCCGGGAACAGCGTTGTGTCAAATTGACCAGTCACAAGATTGAGAAGCCACAGCTATCTTAAAAGATCATTGTATACTGCCCTCTCTCACCGCCTATTGTTCCTCGGTGCATCTAGGGGTCTAAATGGAAGCATGAACATTGCGACTAATATTTGAAAGAGGAGAAACCCAAAATTTCTACTGAAAGGTGGGCTTCAAGATTGACTTGTCTTGCATATGCTGTACTCCAACCCAATTTCGAGAAGCTTTCCAGCAAACTATTTTAACAAATCTTTAAATTCACAACACTCAGTGTACTATATACTAGATAGTTGGCGGATAAGCACACAAGGGGGTTCAAGATCAAAAGTCTATCAGATATCCATTGCAACTTAACGCCTTTTTTTTTAAAAAGTCACCCAAGAAGGACCTCGGTGGCACCAAGCTCAGTTTATGATCGCATCTACGTCGAATAGAGGACACGCAATAGTGCTTTATTGGGCAATCTCAAATGATACACCGTAGGGTATAGGCTTATGATGCATCCAAGGAACTATACGAACCTTATCAAGTCTTGGATCTGGATGTGTCTCATATCAAAAGACGACTTCGTAGGCAGCCATACATAGTACAGATCAGCGATAGGTACCTCTTGGGCTTTACCGCAATATGCAAGCATCCTGAGGTAATTCAATATCCAATGAAATGGATACGGATGGAATGACGGTTTTCAAGAATGTTACCGGTTTGGACTTCTTTGCATCTAGGAGTTGGTGCGCCTACTAGTTTTGTATACGATCCGCTGATCGAGGAGAGTTCTTCATTCTGCTTAATAATGCTGGAATGTCATAACTATAGTTAAATGAGGACCAGAGAGGGGTTTCAACCCCCCTCCTCAATTCTGGTAGCCTCCTCAGTACATGCTGTACATTCGGTAGTAGTCTAGGGCTATGGTACTGTCAGTATTCTGCAGGTCAAGTCACTGGATCGTCTAGGCTGAAAGAGGAAATCTTTAAAGACCTTAAAGTGTAAAAGTCTCATTTTCTTTTTCTTTCTCTCTTCCCGTCCTTCGGGGTTTGTTCGTATCCACCCTTGATAAAGTCTCACCTTACGGGACTAAATCTGTGGTTCCCGGAAATATGGTTCCATCCATAAGGTCTATACAATTCATGACTTAAACCCTTGAATGCACCTGCACCGCTGCTCCTTCACCGTTGCTCTCTAAGCGGGAGACCACGAGTCAACCTTTCCAAGCAACCGTTTATGCCTCGATTGCTAGGAAAAAGAGGAGTGCATCCCTTGCATTACGTGTCCACCAACGTTTTTACGTCCGGATTTATTGACACCAGCGATGTTCGACTGGATTGGATCGGGGTTGGTCGTCATTCGACCCATGGAACGGGTCGTCCAACTTTCGTTTATGTGCCTGTTTCGTGCTCGAGCCCACCTGAGAAATGACACAGCCAATGATTGGCACTAATCCAAAGAATTGTCGCGATATAGATCCCGCTAACTGGAATCGCGCCCTTTTTGGACCTTTTACCCCTGTGGCAATTCACATATGATTAGCGCATACAATCCACACAAGGTACGACGTGGAAAATCCCTACAGCTGGCAAAAAAAAAAAAAAGAAATGAGAAGGAGAGAGAGAGGAATAAAAAGAAGAATCACGCTGACAACACAACGTGAGGAGCGAGACTCACGTTGATCCCTTACATTAGGCATTCAAATCCAAACACTACCACCTTGCAATACCAACCGTTGATTGTTGTGGCAAGAATTGTATTAGCTCGGCCAAAATCCGGTGGCAGACATTCCTTACTTCACGGGGTTTTAGCGATCGGCATCTCAAAAATGCCCTAGCTTTATTGGATAAACCACCCTCAAACTTATAGGAAACTAGTGACAACTAAACCGCGACGGTCTCTCTGGGTCCGTGTTCCCAGAAGCCGATCCCTATGCATGTTCCACTATAATTTTAAATCTTTCGATTTAGTCCAGTCCGAGTCTCTACCACGCGGCGCGAGCTGCAGCCCACACGAACATGTCACTGTGGGTTGGTCCTTTGTGACTGACGAATCATAGACGCTGAGACTTAGGAGATTATCAACATTTTTGGTCTTTCGCACACATTCCAATTGTTGTTTGGGTTCGGCCGGTCCGCCAATAGCACTCCTGTCAACCTGCAAGTCGACATGCTTCAGCCGTCGGATGCCTTCCCCTCATATTGGCTGACAGGTTAGACAAATTGAGTTGCATATTTTAGTTGTGATGGTGGGCCGGACCGTCCAAGCTTATATGTAAAACCGATAAGCTCCATTCTGTTCCTGAACAAATGCCTGTGCAATGTTGCTGTAGAATTCTGCCCCCAAACTTCAACCAAGAAACGACCTATCTGGCCGTGAGCCAGCTTCCTGACAACCATCATGGTTGATTCAGCACTCTTTGGCCTGCTTGTGAAGCGGGCTGACATCCTTGTACGTTGTGAGAGAGGAAAAGAAAGACGGCGTAGTAACTCGGGAGTTATGGGTAAAGCTAACCCGGCACCGGATAGGATCCTAGCAATGACCCTAACATAGGGTCTTCTCGGGGTAATGCATCCTCAACAACTTCTGAGGCCATGGAGAATCTTGGAGTCAATGACTCGACATCGCTCTCTGCGCTTGTCAGCACTCTAGTTCCCGCGTTAGTGATCGCAGTTTTCTGGTTTGGTCTGTTTTTGATCTGTCGACGGACTCAACTCCGGTGGTACGCGCCCCGGACTCATCTGCCAAACTGGCATAAGCAGTAAGTTTATACGAACTACATTTTCCGAATGCATCAATGATGACAACTCTCCAGTGAACGGAGTCCCCAGTTGCCTTCAGGCTTTATCAATTGGTTTGGTCATTTTCTTAAGATCTCCGATGGACATGTCCTTCACTCTTCATCTATGGACGGATATCTCTTTCTCCGATTCCTGCGAGTGCTGTGTGCTACATGTTTTACTGGATGCCTGATTACATGGCCCATCTTGCTTCCCATCCATGCAACTGGTGGTGCAGGCAACACTCAGCTGGACGCATTGAGCTTTAGCAACGTGAAAGACCCAAAGCGCTATTATGTTCACGCCCTAATGGCAATCATCCTCTTTAGTAAGTGGAGACCGGCTATCATGAGCACAGGAACGTCTAACGTCTGTCAATAGCGTTTGTTTTCTACGTGATAACACGGGAAAGTATATTCTACGCCAATCTCCGTCAAGCGTATCTTAACTCGCCCGCATATGTTAATCGGATTTCCTCGAGGACGGTTCTTTTTATGTCGGTCCCAGAGGAATACAAGAGTGAGAAAAAGCTGCGGCAGGTTTTCGGTGATTCGATCCACCGGATTTGGATCACTTCTGATTGTAAAAAGTTGGATAAGCTGGTCCGCAAAAGGGACAAATTGGCCTTCAGATTGGAGAGCGCAGAGACAAGGCTGATCCGATCAGCGAACTCTGCACGTCTGAAAACTCTGAGACAAGGCCGCATCCCATCTGACAGTTCTCTTGACTCTGAAACTGGCACTTCACCGTGGTTTCATGGCATTCGGCGACCGACCCATCGCCTCAAATGGTTCGGAGAAAAGATCGATACGATCAATTGGCTGCGGGACCAGCTTGCGGAAGTTATACAGGAGGTCACCCATCTACAACAGAGGTATAAGGACGGGGAAATGAAATATCTCTCTGCGGTCTTCATCGAATTCAGCACTCAGTCCGACGCGCAGATCGCGTTACAGACTCTGTCCCATCACCAACCACTCCATATGACCCCTCGGTTCATTGGCATCTCTCCTAAGGAGGTTGTCTGGTCTGCACTAAACCTCAGCTGGTGGCAACGTATTGTGCGAAAGTTCCTGGTCCAGGGTGGCATCGCTGCACTTGTCATATTCTGGTCGATTCCGTCTGCCCTTGTGGGTACTATCTCTAATATCACATACCTCTCCGACATGGTACCGTTTTTGCACTGGATAGATAAACTTCCAGAGACACTCAAAGGTGTAATTGCAGGATTGTTGCCATCTGCGGCACTTGTGCTTCTCATGTCCCTGGTGCCAATCATCTGCCGAGGTATGTTGTTGACTCTATATGTCCCCTTCAGATTTCTAACAAATTCTGGTATAGCCTGTGCTCGAAGCGCCGGTGTGCCATCCTCCGCCCGGGTGGAACTGTTCACACAAAGTGCCCATTTTTGCTTCCAGGTCGTTCAGGTCTTTCTGGTTACTACGTTGACCTCAGCAGCGTCTGCCGCAACCACGCAAATCATCAAAGACCCTTTGTCAGCCAAGGATCTTCTTGCCGAGAACCTCCCCAAGGCAACCAATTTCTATATATCCTATTTCTTGCTTCAAGGATTGACAATGAGCTCGATGGCTGTGGTGCAGGTTGCTGGTGCTTTGTTCTTCAAATTCATCGCTACCTTTTTTGATCGCTCCCCCCGGCGTTTGTATCAAAGATGGTCAGCCCTCAGCGGTATCAGCTGGGGCAACATCTTCCCCGTGTTTACCAATATGGGTGTAATTGGTACGTTCGCGAGGCTTTCATACTGTCTCAATATTCCTATTTCTCTAAGAAAATAATCAAACTAACACTCCACAGCTTTGACATACTCCTGCATCGCACCCCTCATTCTAGGCTTCGCCTTCATCGGCCTCTACCTCGTCTACCAAGCCTACCGCTACAACTTCCTCTTCGTCTACGAACCCCGCATCGACACCAAGGGTCTCGTATACCCCCGAGCCCTCCAGCACCTCCTCACTGGTATCTACCTCGCAGACGTCTGCATGATCGGCCTCTTCGCCATCAAAGGCGCAATCGGTCCCCTAATCATAATGGTCCTCTTCGCAATCCTCACCGTACTAGCCCACATGTCCCTCAACGAGGCCCTTGCCCCCTTCAACAACTTCCTCCCCCGCACCCTCGACGCCGAAGAAGAAGCCCAACAAGCCAAGGAAGAGGCCCAAGCACTCAACCACACCCGCAACAGATGGGAAGCCACCTGGAAATGGTTCCACCCTAACCTCTACCGCGACTATGCTGCACTCCGCCGGAAGGTCCGTCGAGACCACGTCGATATCAGGTACTCCGAAGAAGAACGGTACAATGCCTACTACGAACCGTGTATCATATCGAAAACACCGACGATCTGGATTCCGAGGGATAAGTGGGGTTTCAGTCAGCAGGAGGTGATAGCGACGGATCCAATTATCCCTATTACGGATGAGGGGGCGCATCTCGATGAGAAGAATAAGATTGTTTGGGATAAATATGATCCCAATTTACCCTTATCGGAGTTGAAGATATTATATTGATGGGTTTTCTTTGGGCCGGAAGTTATGACGCCTCTTCACCTTGTATATAGCTAAATACGGTAATTTGGGCGTTGGGATCTGGTTGGTAATGATTATATGACTACTAATTCGGGGGGGGGG